TTACAAACATAAATTTCACGTAGACAAACACCCAGATGCGAAACTACTATATTGTGGGTCACACAAATAGTTTCCCCGCGTGGGGATCGAACCCACGACCCAGATTCTCAGTGGCCAAGCCAATACCTTGACGCCGAAGCCAATACCTTGACAACTGCGCCACGGAGCCATCATCCAAATCAAATCAACGAATCAGCTGTAAAATGGCTTTTCAAATGTTATTTAAGTTGCCAAAAGAATTGTTAAACTCTTTGAATTGATCATTCTGATCATTAAGATGAAAAGCCATTTGACAGCTGATTACTTGACTTCTATGGTGATCAGTGTTTCAGAAACCGGGCGTTAGTTTTTCGAATAACGCACTTGACGTACATGCGGATTGTAATTTTATTTTATTATTTACTAGCTGATACCCCGCGATTTCGTCTGCGTTTTTCCCAATTGCATAAACAGCTTGCAATCCGCTTACAAAAATCGTTGTTTCTTTAATAAATTTAAAGAGTTTAGTAAATTTAAATTACAACAATAATTTATATTTAGGTAAGGGCCAAGTGTAAAAGAGATAAAACTGAGAAGAATTTTATAAATTATGATTTTTTGTGATGCGCGCAGAAAAGCATACCTCAATAATTTTATTTATATAGAATATTTAGGCAGTTAGTCAGGACCACAGAGACGTTGCAGACGTCTTGGCAACCACTGAGAATCTGGGTTACCTCACTAGACGAAACGCCAAACTACAAAAGGTTTACTTCACGCTGGTCTGCTTATCGACTGTGGCAAGGCTCTATCGATGTATACGATGCTATAACTATAACGGTTCTCACGACCCCACCGACACGCCAATACAAATTATGTTAAACTTTAATTGAAGTCTCGTAAATTCTGCTTTAGTAGTTCGATTTCAAATTTACAATTAGTTATGGAGTATACTTCCCTCGGGGGACGCAATTCGACGTAAATTTCACCGGTTTAGCATAATTTGAATCGACCCCGAATTCATTACCATGTGGATTGTCTATTTACAATAAATTATGGCAATTCGCCATAATTTCTATGTCTATGGCCTTGATCATTTTAGTTGACGTCCATTTCGTGCGTAGTGCCTTGTAAAGCTACTGTGATAGAAACTGTTCACAGCGCTTATCGCTGTTGCGACGAAAGAGCGACGAAATCAATCCGTATTTTTGTTTCGTTTTTAGGGTGATGAAGAGCCGTGATAGCTCATTGTACGGGCGCTCGCTTTCAATTCAATGTACTGAGTTCTATCCCCGGTGCCTGCACCAATGAAATTGTTAATTTAAGTGGTGACTCATCAAGTGGTCAGCGGTGAGGGAAAACGTCGTGAGTAAACCGTGAGTAAAACGTGATTGACTGTGCCCTGATACTCTCTGTAAAGTCTAGTGGGGCGTTGTCCTACACTGCGATGGTCTGCTCAGCTGCCGCTCGGGAACTACCCCGTGTATCATGGGGAAGAAAAGGTCACGTGTTCAAGTGGTACCAAGTGTTACCGAGTGGTACCGAGAGTTAAGAACTGATAAACATTGGTTATTTAACCGATAGGTTAGGTTAGGTTAAACACTGGTTATATACCAGTGTCTATCCCGCCCGTCCACTCGTCCGTCTACCGAGCTCACTTGGCGATTTGCTTTCGTAAAATGTCAGTCCGGCACATGTGGATGAACACAATCATACTGCATCAGCTGATTATTGGCTACGAGGGCTACGATATGCTATACTATACCGATTTGATATTTTTAAACGCATAACTGTACTTGTTATAGATGTATCCCAATAACAAATTACAATTATTAATCATTAACTATTCCGATTCATGTAAACTGCCTTCCGTGCTGTAAACGACAAAATTCCGTTTCGTGGGCATGAATATTAATTCGCGGCACCGTATTCATTACGGCGGCGTGGAACCGTTAATCGCCCCATTAGCGGGCCGTAGTAAGTTGTCGGAATTAATAAGGCGGCCCGACCGTACCCAAATTGTTTTTCCCCGGCGCAAGTGCTAATGGGCTAACGTCACGCGATGCCATGGAGCGCCAATGGTTTAGGGCGTTGGTCAATGCTTTGTTTCCAACGCTCGTCTAGTCCGCATATCCCGGTGCCAATGCGATTGATTTGTGAAACAGAAGATGGTAGGCGATGAATATCTTAGGTGATATTGAAATTAAATTATTTATGTTATGGGCACCAGACGGTAGCCAATGTTAATAGTCGCGTCAGTATAAGACAATCAATACTTTACAATCATAAAAAAATTGTAGGTTTTAAGCAACCCCCTGACACAAAAAAAGCTCAAATTATAGCTAGGAGCTTTTAAACAAAAAAGAAACATACCATAATCTGTCCATTCGTTTAGAACATTTGTTTATTATGTGACAAGGTGGCTAGCGAGCTGGCTAATCCAATGTTAAGTGATCAAAGGGTGAAACGGGACCCTATTAGTTACTAAGACTCCGCTGTGTTTCTGTCTGTCCGTCTGTCACCACTGTTATAGTTAGAACCGTGATAGTTAGACAGTTGAAATTTTCACGGATGATGTATTTCTGTTGCCGCTATAACAAAAAATACTAAAAAACAGAATAAAAAAAATATTTAAGGGCTCCGATACCATATAGGTACACGATTTGGTTGCCGTTTTTATAGAAAATGTTACGGAACCCTTCGGGCGCGAGTCCGACTCGCACTTGGTCGGTTTTTAACATAATGACATTAGTGCTGTCACATAAAATATTGTAGCAGTATTAACGAAGGAGTAATCGATGTGGCGGAATTTTACCTTAACAAACTGCTTGTAGAATATGTCATTCCGAGTACGAGATATCATATGTGACCTACTACGCAAAGGGCACGCGAGTTTTATTTATTATTTATAGCTCATAATATGATGCCCCAAATATAGATATTATGGTTGCGTCATTTCTATCGACCTAGCGTTTCGCCCTTTATCTTTTTGTAGCTCGTCGTAGTGTTCTGTGTGTAAGAAGCCCGGTGGTTTTCTAGCTAGGATGTCGGCTCGCGATCTAATAGAGCGGCTTCGAAACGTTTTTATACGCATAAAATAAAACATATATTACTTGAGTCGTTCATTTTAAGAAATGGTTCCAGATACGGACCCGATACGAGTCCTGTTTCTTTTTTTTAATCAAAACACCGACTTAGAAGTCATCTCTGTTTCATGGATGTTCACAAACATAAAATCAAGAGTATAAGTATGCCTCCTACAAGTAAACAACATGCGTTTTAGAATCGCATAACCCGGCTGAGTTTCAAAACCTACAGTGCGCAGTACAATGGGAGCTGACAGTGTTCTCTTAAAAGTTGGAGCCTACCATGGCGTTCATAATCACGTGTCGTAGTTCTGATTATTAAAACAAAGTTGTAATTCAATTAATAATTTAAAAATATTTCACGTATTCATCGAAACACTGATAACATGAGCAATACGTAATGATATTTATTCATTTATATATTTATCTAAGTAGATACTACAAACGTAAGTTACAAAACATGTGTTAAAAAAATAGTAATGAAGATTTTAAACATTAACAATGGATCCCAAACTAAGCAGTGTTTGTATCTTTGGAGACATGTAAAATAAAATGTTATCTATGGGAGATATGTAAAATAAAGTCTTATCTAAACCCAATTTTCATAGGCGCTTAAAATAAACGGACGCGCATTCCAATGCTTTCAAACATTTCTTATGAATTTGGTAACTCATTGCGGTTATTAGTGATCGTCTTCTGCGAATAGTATGTATGAGCTACATACAATTGTACGTGTGTGAGTGTTTATGTACATAATTTGTTTTTATTTACAAACTAATAGCTGTTATACCGCTAGGAATTTTGTTTTAAACGTCAAAGAGTGATCTTCTTTGCCGGTACGCCATGCGCAACCTACTGCTAGTTAATCGTTCCATGCCCATAACCAACTGTTCAAAAAATTTTCCTAACAATTCAAAAACCCATTAAAATTTACTTAATTCAAACTAATTCTACTATGTTTTAAAAAACTTCCTAAATCATAATCACTTATCAAGTTTTGCTTTGAATTTACCCCCTAAGAAACTTCCATTATTTTTTTTCTTTCTAAATTTAGGAAGAAAATTCCTAAGTTGGCATCCGTGGCCCATAATCGTCTCGCACATCAAAGAACTGTATTGGCAAAACATTAACGCAATCGTACGACCAAACAAACATACCTACATTGATTTTTCTCTATTTAATTTAACAATACAGGCTTGACGAAGTTTGCAAATTATTCATGGTGACAATATTCCCTTTTGGTAGCTTCAACTTGTACTTTGGAAAATATTAAAACGTTTCGCAGTGGTCGCGTGACGTAACGACTTCGCAACTATTAATAATTGTCGTGTCGGAATACCGAAATGGAGTTCGCACAATAAATCGTCCGCGCTCGCTACCAAGCGATATTATGGCGTGTGATTAAATACGATAATAGCGACACCGATGGCCTGGTGGTTGAGAGTACGGATTTGGGATCTTAGATAGCGAGTTCAAACTCTATAGAAGGGTTGATTCCTATGATAATCCCTTCAGTAGTTATCGCGTTACGAGTTCATTGCGTTCAGACAGGCCGACAGAGGCAGTGGGGTAATTTGTATTGTAATATCACTACATAGTATGAAACAAAGTCGTCCCGCTGTCTGTCTGTCCTTATGTATGCTTAGATCTTTAAAACGACGCTACGGATTTTGATACGGTTTTCTTTAATAGATTGAGTGATTCAAGAGGAAGGTTCATATGTATAATTCACGCATAATATAGTAGAGAAACACTGATAATTTTAGAGGTTTCTAATGCGATGTCGAAAACAAACATTCAGCATTACACCCGTGCGAAGCCGGGGCGGATCGCTTGTGTTGTAGTAATTTGCTATTTATTTTTCTCGCGTTGAAGTAGAAAACGTTAAGCTAAGCAGATGTAGTTAGTTTACCATTATTCCTATTACAGGAGCACATGAATTCGCTGCGAGAGGAGGCTCCTGGGGTAGATGCCACCAAGTTGGAACAGCTGCTGTCCGCAGCTTACGCCCTCGCCAGCCCTAAGTTGCAGCAGATCAGTTTACCCGACTTCCCCATCGACAGTCTTCACGCTGCTGCGCGTATACTGGTATGTTTTCTTTCTTAGCGATGTCGCATTGTGGTGGTACCTACTCTTATAACCACGTATTGATACCGGGCATTTTTTCCAAAATTTGGGGCTAATATGAAATTAAAGCTCCTGGCTTACTGCCGTTCTATCATTTCTATATCGAACTTCGCTCGTTGGGTAACTTAACTTGGCCTGATGGGTTTTAAAAATGGGTAAATTCAATTAATTTATATTTATAACATAATTCATACCTAGGGTGACTTTGCAGTACAAAATGTGTTTGTATAATCATGATTATTTAGAATATAATATAATAGAATATACTTTAGTGGACATAGGGTATACTCAAAAGGAAAATACAGTAAACTGGGTTATAAGCCCCTAAAAATAGCAAAATAAGTCTACTATGTGCTAGACAATATGTGCTACCCCGCCCTTCCTAGTTTCATTTAATAGACGATCAGGTTCCCATTATGTTCGCCTGCGAGTTCAAAGTCCCTGTTCAACCGACTTCAAAAAAGGAGGTTCCCAATTCGACTGTATTTTTTTTTATGTTTGTTACCTCAGAACCTTCGACGGAGTGAACCGGTATTGATGATTCTTTTTTTATTTGAAAGCTGGTGTTACCATGTGGTCCCATATTAATTTCATTGGTATTGGATCTTGGGCTCCGGAGATACTTAGGGCGCTCCTGAAAATTATAAAATGAATCAAGACGAGATGTTTGAAGTAGGTTTTATTTTTCGTTAATAATTAGCTTTCTTACACCTAGATAGCTTGTATAAGCCCTAATTACAGGGTCGACATTCAAAGTCAATTTCTAGACTATTCGATTGTCACGATAGAGTTTGCAGTCGTATTCCGATATCGCACCTTACGATCTTATGCCCCTATGGTTATTTGCGTATATATCCGAGCTCGGCGAAGCCTTTCACGCGATATCCTCATATCTATCGATATCTATCCACATGTCAGGTTCAAGGTGAAAGAATCATGGGATAATATTCCATGTTTCTTATGTCCATTTATAGGGTTTGTCTGTTTGTTGAAGCATTTTGAAGAGCCAACGCTTTTCAATGCATTCTTTCCCATATACACTTGTGGCTAAGTTTTGAATTAAAATTAGAATGTAATTTTACTTAAATTATTATGTGCATTTGAACAAAGGTTGAGAGATTACAACGAAGAAAATGCCCAACAGTATTTGTGCGTGATAATTAAAAACTTAACAATTTTAAGTGTTAAATTATAACGTGTTTTGTACGCTAACAGGAAGCTTATATTTTCTAAATAGTAACGAAAAAAAAAATGTTTCAAAGATGATGCATGTGAATTCTGCCAATCCGCAATGGGGTCTCGCAGTGGACCCTCTGTAAAAAGGGGACCTTTGCCCAGCTGTAGGACTTTTATAGGCTGTTACTTTACTTTTATTCTTACATTAAATGCAATAAGGTGCAGTCATCGACTGTTGTTCTATTGCATCATATTAATTAACATATTTTTACAAAAAAGGCGTTAAATATTCCAGGAAACCAACCCAGGAATTCCCGTACACAAGCTACTCTGCCTACTCTATCCCTACAAGACGCTCCTAAGCAAAGACCACGTCAAAAACGTTCACGGCGTTCTACACAATCTGAGTGTAGACACCGAGTCGAAATGCGCTGTGGCCTTGCGCGGGGTGGAGTTCACGGAAAACGAAGCCTTAGCGACGCTTGAGATCAACGGCGCCAAGTCTCAATTTGGCGTGACAAGCGGCGCAAGCTCGTACAGGAGGGCGGAGAAGGGCTACGTGCGGACGGAATACCAGAGTGAGCTATTAAGCGAGCTTCTGCTAAGTCACAGTGTTGCAGACTTTTGTATTGTGGGTGAGTATACATGCAGCAATGTCATTAGAAACTAGCTGCCCGGATAGACATTGTTCTTTTTTTTATTGTATTAAAACCTTCCTTAAGGAACACACAAAACAATAAATTAGCCGAATTGGTCCAGCCATTCTTGAGTTATGCGCTTACCAACATTCATTTTTATTTATTAAGATAACGCTTACTGTCTCGATGAAAAAATAGTGGTTCACTTAATATAGATAAGATTGAATAAGGTTTATTTTGACAACTCTGGTTCTTGAAATTGCTTACGTGGGTAGCTTGCTAATTTCTTGTGCAGTATTTGAAGGCCAAATTTCAATTGCTCGTAAGTTATCCTCCATTCAGAGTTTTCTGCGTGTGAAGGTAAATATCAGAAGTTTCGATAGAAGACCAATAATTATCCATTGCTATTTGGAGGCGTGATAGCTCAGTCTCTAGTCGCTCGCTTTATTTAAATATTTCGAAGAAATATGAAGTCTACCAATCGGCCCGCAGTGAAATGAAAATACCTAATACCGTATGTACATATTATGCCATTGCCCATAAATAGGTCATACTGGTTGTTACTTAACTTACTATTTGGATTCGAACAGCTCAAAGAGACGAAAGAAGAAGAAGTTTGTCAGAACGGAAACGATAATATGTGAGCTTAGCATAATAAGATGAGAATGGTTGTGCATTTAAACATAGGTTCTACTCTACTATGTAGGTCCGAAAGGCTGCGGCAAGAGTCTCCTGGTGGCGCAACTTGCGTCACTACTGCACTACACTATAGAGCCCATAGTCCTGTACCAGGACATGACCGCTAGGGACCTTGTACAGCAACGCACTACTTTGGACAATGGGGATACGGTGTGGAGGAACTCCGCCCTGGTGGAGGCGGCCTTGAAGGGGCATATGGCGGTGCTGGATGGCCTGCACAGGGTCCACGCCAGCACCTTGGCTGTGCTGCACAGGTTGGCTGGCATTTTGTGGCAGTGTTTTTTTTTTATTTAGAAATGGAAATATTGTGGAAATATTATATATTACAATAACAATAAATGAACTTTCTAAAATAAATTAGCCTTAGTTACTCATTACCACATCAGCTATCTGCCAGTGAAAGTCCCGTCGAAATCGGACGAACAGACGGACAAACAAAAAATTTGAAAAATGTTTTTTTTAGGTATGTGTACCGTGTAATATCCATATGCGTTTAGTGAAAGCGGTTATTTTAACATCATAAACAGACACTCCAATTTTATTTACCTGTAGTATAAAAGATGGCAAGCGAGCTGGTGGTTCACCCGATGTTGAATGATAACCGTCGCCCATCGACATTTGCAACGCCCGTAGGGTTACGAATGCGTTGCCACCTTTCAATAAAGCAGGCCTCGATTACCTCACTCATAAGTATCAGACGAAACGCAAAAGTATAACGCTTCCACTTTACGCCGGTCTTCTGTGAGTGTTCTTCAGACCTGCCCATTCGTGCAACGGCGAACGGCGAAGGCTGCTGAGTGGCTCTACCACAATGAGGTGGACATTTAACATTCTTATTGTCATACTACCCGCTGCCCGCGACTACGTCTGCGTAGAACAGGCCGAAGGCGTAACATTCAGACAGAAAGACAGATATACACAAAAATATGTATGTAAATTATAGCCTATGTGTTATTCTGATTTGTAAGCTATATTAATGTAAAGTTTCATTAAAATCCATTCAGTAGTATTTGCGTGAAAGGGTAACAAACATCCATCCATTTATACAAACTTTACAATATTAGTAAAGATAAGGATAAGTAATCAGGCAATTTATACGTGTTCAGTATTTATTCTTTGTATCATTTACTGTATTTATACAAAGGCAATTTATACGTGTTCAGTATTTATTCTTTGTATCATTTACTGTACTTATTGGTTGAAAACAAATAAATGAATATATGTATGTATACTTTGTATTTAGGCTAGTGCACGATCGAGAGTTGCAGTTGCACGACGGCACACGTCTATTAAGACATGACAGGTATGACGATCTGTTGTCGTCAGGCCTGAGCGTCCAAAACTTGGAGGAAAGTGGCGTGAAGAGGATCCATCCAGCCTTCAGGTGATTCTCGCTAGTTTGAGTTTCAATCCCCTGAGGACTTTTCTTTTGTTTTCGGACATTTTGTCAGTTCGGTTCGTAATGCGGCATGGTGGAAAGCTAGCAGTTGTGTCACCCGATGTGAAGTGATCACCGCCGAACTTACACAATACAAAACGCCTCTGGGGTTAAAGATGCGGTTTAATAGATCGTGGCTAGGCTACCTCAGTCATCGGATCAAACGCGCAAGTATGACACATTATTATTATTTTTTTATGCGATAAGTTGTCAAACGAGCAGACAGTTCACCTGACGTTAAGTGAATTACGCCGCCCGCGGACATCTGCCACACCCGAGGGTTACAGATCCGTTGACAACCTTTAAAAATTGGGCTCCGGCTACCTCACTCACTAGACGAAACGCGAAAGTGTTTGTCATACTTCCACTTTACGCCGGTCTTCTGTGAGGTCGTGGTACTTACCCGGACGGGCCTGCCCGTTTGTGCAACAGCCGAGGCTGCTGCGTGGCCCTACCACCGTAACACATTATGCCCGAGATGTAATATTATGTATATAATATATATTTCAATAAAGTGGGCTCCGGTGTATATCTCCGGTGAAATAAATGACAAAAAAGAGGATGCCTACGGAGTTTCTTTCTGTTTCTTCTCCGTTAGAGGAACCTCATTACGAAACGGTGGTAGATTTAAAAATTAATATCGATAAATGAAATGTATATTTCTTATTTCGATGAATAAATCATTAGATTTTGATTTTCAATATTCCTGGATAATAATCAAGGAATATTCTCAAGGAATTCTACGACCCTATAATCAGGGAGTCATCACTGACATGCGATGCATTATCCACTCATTGAAAATAACAATCTCTCGCAAACAAGCTCATGTATTACTTACTGTGTAATTATATATGACTTGAAATCGTTATGGGGCATTATGACTGTGAAAGTTTTGATGTGTTCTGTAAATAAATCAGTGTTCACTACAAAATCGTACTGTGATATAGTTAAGCGTATTTTTATGATAGAATCGTAGCGCTGGCTGAGCCGCCAACCTTCGACCGTGGCCAGCACTGGCTGACTCCCGAAATTCTGAGCCTCTTCGTCTTCCACGAGATGCGCAATTTGAGCAAAGAAGAGGAGATATTTATTATAAACTCACTTGTAAGTTTAAATTTGAGCATTAATTTAAATTTCAGCGATTTTCATGAAATTTAGTATGTGCGTAGATTCGGGGGAGAGAAATCGATCTAGCTAGGTTTCATTTTTCAGAAAATGCCCTTTTATCCCTGTTTTCAGGGAATTAAAAATATCATTCGAATGTTATAACGAAAAAAAAATGTTATAATAGCTCGGTCGGTAATCGGGAGGCCCCGAAACAGAAGGCTGTGTTTCGTGTCAAGATCATTTACACACTTATTTTTTTTTTCACTCTTTTTTCTATACCACTCTTTATTTATTATTTCCACAATACACGATTTACCAAAAAAAAAAAAAGCCGGGCAAAGCTTGGGCAAGTGAGCAGAGCAGGCGGTTCACCCGATGTTAAGTGATAACCGCCGCCCATAGACATATGCAACACCCGTAGGGTTGCAAATGCATTGCCACCTTTTAATAAATCTGGCCCCGGTCGTGGTACTTCCCCGGACGGACCTGCCCATTCGTGCAACAGCGAACTGTAGCATGTCCTTACAACAGAAATACACGGACACTTAATAATCTTTATTTTCGTGTTTCAAACAAAAAAACAACTTTTAAATAAAATTGTGGTGAAAACGATTTATGAAATATCACAATATGCTCCATCGATAAATGTATATTATTATCTTTATTTCTTCAATAACGTTAAATCTATTTTAAACATTAAGATTATTAGCGATAGTCAGGTGAGTCTTTCATTACGTTTTAAAACTTAATTGTAGGCACTTTAAATAACTCGATTAACAATTTGAATTTCAGTACGGAAAAATCTCGAAGCCGCTCCATTCGATCATCGAATTGGCGGACCAGCTGCGCAGATCCGAAGACAGCACCCTGAGGAACCTCTCCTCCTCGCTGTCGACGAGGCAGCTGCTCAGGATCGCGCACAGGATGTCCAAATATCCAACGGACTCGGCACACGAGACGGTGCAGAGGACCTTCCTGGCCAAGTTCCTTCCCAACCTCGCCAGGCGGGCGCTAGATGGCGCCGGCCAGAGGATAGGCATCGAACCGGCCACCCGCTTCGGTCTATTCGGCAGCAGCGAGCCCAAACCGCCGTGCCGTATCCACGACGGCACCCTCACCATCGGGAAGACCAGCACGCGCGTTCTCAAAACGGACGCGCTGACGAAAGTGCCCGACATACTGTTCTACGACGTGCCGCAGCACGTGCAACTGCTCGAGTGGCTCCTCCAGGACTTCCTGCTCGGCAGCCACCTCCTGCTGGTGGGGAACCAGGGCGTGGGCAAGAACAAGATCGCGGACAGGCTGCTCCAACTCCTCAACCGGCCGCGGGAGTATATTCAGCTGCACAGGGACACCACGGTGCAGTCGCTGACCGTCCAGCCGACCGTCCGGGGCGGCGTGGTGGTGTACGAGGACTCTCCCCTGGTCAAGGCGGTGAAGGTCGGCCACGTGCTGGTGGTCGACGAGGCCGATAAGGCCCCCACTCACGTCACCTGCATACTGAAGACTTTAGTGGAGAACGGGGAGATGGTACTGAGCGATGGCAGGAGGATCGTGCCCAAGGACATGCTGGACGGCTCCGGTGGGGAGCAGTCCACCTTCATTCCGGTCCACGACGACTTCAGGATGATAGTGCTCGCCAACCGGCCCGGATTCCCGTTCCTCGGGAACGATTTCTTCGCTTCTCTAGGTGATTACCGAGGTTCAGGCTAGGCGCCTCGTGCGCCAGGCCACGTCAAGCCCGTCGGAACTGTAAAGGCCCCTCAGGCCAACAGTGGCTCATCCAGCCCAAAAAAAAAATCTAGGTGATTACTTCAGCCCCACATTATGCTAGGCATTTCATAAAAAGCGTACGAACTTGCTGTAACATTAAATTAATGACAGTAGGGTTTATTTTTAACGATAAAGATGACACAGATGTTCCCAATGAGATCATGTGTATAGTGATAGCAGTAAAACAATGCTTTCATACGAGCAATATTTATAGTGTTTCATTACTTTAATGGGTGTATGGTATGTATTATGATCTAAGGTAGCCTTTTCGTCAACGTAACGTTAGACGATAACATAATCGTGTAACGTTTCGCATTTCGCACACATTCGTATATTATTATTTTTTTAATTAGAAAAAGTGGCAAACGCCGCCGCCAATGACATGTGCAACACCCGTAGGGTTCTGTGAGATCAGGCGATCTATTCTCCTGCCACGCGGTGGACAATCCGTCCGTCGAGTCCGAGCTGGAGCTGCTCCGCTCGTACGGGCCCAACGTGCCCGGAGACGTGATGCGGAAGCTCGTGCAGGCGTTCGCGGTTCTCCGGAACATGGCCGACCAGGGTCAGCTGACCTATCCGTACTCCACTAGGGAGCTCGTCAACATTGTTAAGCATCTGCAGGTGGGTTTCTTACTAATTCATGCTACGGGATGGATCCACTTCAAATGGTTGGCGATGCAGATCGCGTGTCGGGGAAAATGAAAAAAAAAATGTTTTTTTTTCTTTTTAGTTTTTTCTTAGGTATTGGCTTCGGCGTCGGAGGCCGTGGGTTCGATTCCCACACGGGAAAACTATTTGTGTTACCCACAGATAGTTGTTTCGCATCCGGGTGTTTGTCATCGTGTAATTTATCTTTGTAAAACGTCCTTACAACACAGGATAATGTTATCATAAAGTAAGGACAACGTTTTAAAAAAATTATGTATCATGTTAAAATATGTAGAAAAAGTACGAAAAGATTGTCGCCGCTGTGGGAATTGAACCCACGTCTTCGGCATTCGCGGCCTGACGCTTTAACCACTAAGCTAAACGGCTGATTGCCACACCGACGAAAATCTTAACATGATTTATCTACATTGTTTTTTTTTAGCATTTGAAGCAATGCTTGGCGCATTTTAATGTTCAATCTTAATTATAAAAATTTATTTTTTATTAATTTCTAAAAGTATAATGTTTTATATTCTAGAAATATCCAGAAGAAGACCTGGCCACGGCGATAGGAAACGTTTTCGACTTCGACCGCTACAGCAAGGACACATCTGATACACTTCTGGAAGTTTTGCACTCCAGCGGTCTGCCGACAGAGGGCGTGCTGGAAGGACGTTCCAAAGACGCTATGAAGAAGCTACAGATGACGATAGAAAGAAAAAGCGGGTAAGTAATTCGAGAGGATCTTTTTATTTTGAGCCGTGATAGCTTAGTGTCCGGGCGCTCGCCTTTAATTCAATATACTCGAGCAACCTGAGTTCGATCCCCGGTGCCGACACCAAAGAAATTGGTAATTTCAAGTGCTGAATTATCACACATGGTGAGGAAACCGGTATATTTTCGAAATAATACTACAAAAGAATATTTCGAAGATATGTGAAGTCCGCCAATCCGTGGGGTCGCCTGGTGGACTATGCCCTGATACTCTCTGTACAGAGGAGGCCTTTGCCCAGCTTTCATGTTTCATTTTAAAACATCATTCATGTTTGTAAAACGCCCTTATTACACACGTTATCCTAAATTAAGGGCAATGTTTAAAAAAATATGTTGAACTTTCCGCCCAGATTGGACGTGTCGTCGCCGAAGCACGGCAAGGAGGACCCGGACAATGAGCCGCACGTGGGGGGCAACACGTGGGCGGGCGGCACGGGGGGGAGGGACACGGCCGGCCTGGGCGGCAAGGGGGGGCCCTACCGCCTCGACAAGGGCCACCAGGTGCACCAGGTATGCACGCATACTGGCTCAGGCTAGGCGGGCTTCGAGCATATATTACGATCTCCGGGTCAAAGTCGGAGTATAGGCAGCGGGAGGGGGGGGGGGGGGGGTTTCACGTGCTAGCTCAGGTTTGTTTCGGGCATATTTGTACCGGATGAAACAACAATCACAAACCCGTGTGTATTGCAGATGTCCAATGGCGGATTTTCAAAGTCAATCTTTCCAAATTTTCCATAAAAAAATACATCATCAACAAAAAATATGTATATCGTGTGCTTACGTGTGTTTATTTATTTATTTTTTTTTTATGCGAAAAGTTGCCAAACGAACAGACGGGTCACCTGATGTTAAGCGAATACCGCCGCCCATGGACATCTGCTAGACACGAGGGTTACACATGCGTTGACAAGCCTTTGAAAATCACTCACCAAACGAAACGCGAAGGTATTTGTCATACTTCCACTTTACGCTGGTCTTCTGTGAGGTCGTGGTACTTACCCGGATGGGCCGGCCCGTTCGTGCAACAGCCGAGGCTGCTTCGTGGCCCTACCACCGTAAACGATGATTGAAACGTTGCGGTATCAATATGTATACTTAATATTTTTTATAGACTAATATACTAGACCCATATAACGCAATAAATAAAATAAAATGTTACTACTCGCTTGCCGTATCGCGTCCGTTGCCTACGGACGCTTGGGCCGACTGAAAACCAGCGCCGCAATACATCCTTATTAATAAACTCCTTTTATTTTTATTCTTTGTTTTACTTTCACTTATTTTTTTTATTGTAACTACACATAGGTTATTGTATTTTTTATTTTTTAGTTTATTATTTTGTTTTTGTTCTTTTGTAATCATAAACTGTATTGTAATGAAATGTAATATGTGTGCAGATGAAGTGTCGGATTAAATGTCTTAAATGTCTTGTATATGTTATCATGCATCGTGAATCATGTAGGAAGTAGCCTAACGTCTATCCTCCTTGAGACAAATACCCCGATCCGGAACATTTATCCGTGGGTGAATCCTTTTTATCCCGGGAACGGAAGCTGCGACCCCCGGCGCCGAAGCCAATAGCTTACCGGTATTCGCACCATCGGGAAAAAAACATCTAAGTGTATGGGGTAATGTAAAGTAAGTGCAATGTAACAAGCTTCTATTTATTTTTATCGAAAAATGGTACAAACAGGCAGGAGGCTCATCTGATGGTTAAGTGATCACAGGTCATACAATTAAAAAAATCATAATAAAAAAAATATATTTATTCAAATAGACGCTTCCGCGCTCTTATGAATCGTCAAATTTTATATACCACCACCATAAGGTACCACCGGTTCGGAAAGCAGTTTCTGTTGAGAAGAGACCGGCAAAAAACTAATGCCACTCACTTTGCCCCATGAACGACCTATTTACTCTTTGTAGACGAAACAGTGGCGTAGTTATTTGATATTTCTAGTATTTAATTTATTTCTGTCATATTGTGACACCGGTGATTTTTACCAGTTGTCAGATGAAGAGAAGAACGATATACCCGACCACGTGAAGGAAGCCGCCCGCGCTATGAACAGAAGGGCCTTCGAAGAGCGTCTGAAGGAGGTCAAGATGAGCGAATACGACGCGAAGCTGTACGGGCAGTTCCTAAGGGCGGTCCAGCCGCAGGTAACTTGGAGCTCGAGGTTTCCGCGATTGCCGTTCCAAAATGCACCTTGTGTTAGAACGCATACGGTCGAACTTAGTGGCTAGGGCGTCCGGGTATTTGGAAGCACGTTCGAACCCTGCGGAAGGAGAGAGGCATAACCTCTAATACTCTTTCTTTACTCCACTCTGAGCAGATGATTTTATCCATATTATAGTTACAACTTTACAACATTACGGACCTTCTTTAGCTATATTACGTGTGTTCTCAAAGCTCAAAAGTCCCTATCTTTGTTATACTTAACTGTTCTTTCTTCTTCTCATTTTTTTAGATTGGTGCTCTCCGCGGTGTGTTAGCAGAACTGCAGGCGAAGAAGAAAGAGAGGCAGTGGAGCCGACACCAGACTAGCGGGGAGCTGGACGACTCCAAGATTATTGAAGGTTTTGAAATGTTGTGTAATTGTGAATTTATCAATATTCTATTTGGTATCAAAGCCAGAAGAAGGATTTAAAGCGGCGGCGGTCGGCGGTTGTGAAAACACAAATGACACAATGATTGTTAGTTTTAAATGTCGTCAAATCACGTGCACAGCGGCGAAGAAAACATCGTGAGGAAACCTGCCAATTTGGAAAGTAATGGCAAAAAAATCTTTCGGAGATATGTTAAGTCCGTCAATCCGAAGTCGGGTCGCGTCGTGGACTCTGCCCTAATACCATCTTCACGGATTACGCCTTTGCCCAGCAGTGGGGTATAATATATATAGGTTGTTACTTTTCTTATTTTTATATTATCATCTGTTGTACGTACCACGTAAGTGCCACGACCTTACAGAAGACCGGCGTGAAGTAGTATTGGTTTGCTGCTGCGTTCCGTCTGGTGAGTGTGGTAGCCGGGGCCCACTTTATCAAAAGGTGGCAACGCGTCTGCTACCCTACGGGTGTTGCAAACGTCCATGGGCGGCGGTTATCACTTAACATCAGGTGAACCGCCAACTCGCTTGCTTTCTGACATAAACAGAAGATTTCATAATAATTCGAATATTATTATTTATATAATAGAATATTTATCCTGGCAGGATTGACTGGCGAACGGGCGATATACCGCCGAAGGACGGAGCAGGAGCCGCCCCCTGGTTCCCCGCCAGACAAACCGAAGCGGCTAAGGCTGGTCCTCGACGTATCCGGCAGCATGTACAGGTATATGACCCATTGGCGCAGTGGTTAATGCACCTGTCTCTTGCGCTAGTGTGGGTTCGATCTCCGCTGCTGGAAAAGTGTTGTGCGAACATGGTGCTTTTCTAGTGTCTATGTGTTTATGATTTATAAACTCCCGGATATATTATAAAATGTATGTTACGACCCGATTAGCGCAGTGGGTAGTGCACTTGCCTCTTGCGCCAAAGGGCGTGGGTTCGATCGTAGTGTTATCGAATATAGTGTGTTTCCAGTGTCCGGTTTTTTATATATGTGTTTATTTACAAAAGAAAAGTGTGTTAATGTTGTAATGAAATATTTATTGCGAGAGAGATCTTTTATACCGACAGGGTCGTGCAACCGCTAGTAGTGTTGAGCCACAGGAGATCGCTTTGAAGTGAAAGTATTATACTTTCGGGTGAGTGAGGTAGCAAAACCTTAGGGGGAGGGAGGGTTCACGATCGTACCCAAAATTAACCCCCTTCAGTAAATTTGGGTGCGAATGGGAACGACGCGTGTCAGATTCCCGCAGCGGAGAAACACTTTTCGTCCATATTTTCCACAGATTCTCCAAAAATTTTCAATCCACAATGGCGTCAAGTGGCAGACGAACAGCGGGACATAAACAGGCTGTAACTTACGTTTTAAATAAATTTATTACGTACGTTACTTCGAAATTTAACAAAAGCTTGGGCGAATCGCCACCGCCAGGTTCAATTCGTACGACGGCCGCCTGGAGCGGTCCATGGAGGCGGTGGTGCTGCTGACGGAGGCGCTGAGGGGCTACGAGGCCCGCATCAGGTACGACGTGTACGCCCACTCGGGGGAGGAGCATGCCCTCGAGCTGGTGAGGGTCGACCGGCCCCCGCAGAACGAGAAGCAGCGCTTGCAGGTGACCTCACTTCGACTGCTTTTCTCCACTTTTTCCGTTGTATAGGATGACTATGAATTCCCACCCTATACCCACGCTTCGAAGGCTGGGCAAATCTGAATAAAGCCTACAACTATAATAAAGCTTCGACGCTGGTAGGGCCACGCAGGAAGTATAATACTCCCGCGTTACGTCTAGTGAGTGACGTAGCCGGAGCCCAATTTCCAGAAGGTTGTCAACGCATCTGCAACCCTCGGGTGTAGCAGACGTCTATGGGTGGCAGTATTCACTTAACATCAGCTGAACCGCCTGCTCGCTTGGCAACTTTTGACATAAAATCAAAAACCCCGCTTCCTCCTCCCACACTCCGTAGAGGACGCAGTTGGATAACTATGAAACCCCCCACCCCTCTCAACTCTCCGTCGGTTAAACGCCGATGGATTACTATGAATCAAGGTCCCAACTCTCTATAATTAAACCCCCCCCCCCCCCCCCCACTCTGAAACGGTGAAAGTCTTTGGAGGACTAAGACTAAAGCTCCCCCATTGCCTTTAGGTAAGACCCCACTCCCTATAGGTGAAAAATCTAAGCAATAACCCCCCCCCCCCCCCGCCCCCGCCCCCCCCCCCCATCGCAGATAATCCGCACGATGCACGCGCACGCTCAGTTCTGCTGGTCGGGCGACAACACGCTGCCCGCAACGAAGCACGCCATAGAGGCGCTCGCGGCCGAGGAGGCGGACGAGGCGCTAGTGCTCGTGCTCTCGGACGCCAACCTGAGACGGTGCGTGATAGCCTGAGATAGCTGCGCTCGGCCGCAGACACTAGTCCGTACGCCATTTAAAAGCAGCGACACCCCTAGAGTTGACGGCGAAACTGTGCAGTCAATTCTAGGGGTGTCGAAAGTCGACGTATCGATATTTTTTTTATTTTATCTATCGATGTTTTCAGCAGATATATTCAGATCGGATATATCGATACGAAATATCCGATATCGAATGTTCGTTAAGTTAACAAAGTTATAACACGATTTGCGTGTTTTTTCGTAGAAATTATAATGGTTCTAGGTTTTTGACAATATAGGTGAAAATCGACGATTCAAAGATGAATGACAAGAAGTCAATGAAAAAAGGCAGAAATAAATGATTGATGCATGGTTCTAAGAACACGTAGGCGACTCGAACATCGAAAATCGTATTACAAACGATATTTTTTCAAATTCGAATCCATCACAGAATCCATAGGTGTCAAATTATTACTAATATTATAAAGGCGAAAGTGTATGTATGGATGGATGTTTGTTACTCTTTCACGCAAATACTACTGAATGGATTTTAATGAAACTTTACAATAATAAAGCTTAGGTATATTTGTCTTTCTGTCTGAAGGTTACGCCTTCAGCCATATGTACATAGACTTAGACGTATTTAATGTACGTAGACGTATTTAATACTTTTTTACGGGGTTCGTAGGACCTAAAGGGAAAATATCGATATATCGATATATTTCTTCACTTTCGACATCCCTTGTTAACGCTTAAACACTTCTGCAGTGCGTCCATGTGTGGAGGGGCAATATGTTTACGAGGATATTGTCTTCTTTCGCACCGCTTTCTGTCCTGCTTCGACTGTGGTTAATGTTGTAAAGTTGCGGACTGTTTTGTATCTGACAAACAAACGATATTTGGTACTTTTATTAGGCAATATCACGCGCATAAATCAATATGGGAGCTTAACCGAACTATATGTATGCGATAAGAATTTTTGAAATCGTTTCATGAATGACAGATTTCTGAGGTTAGTAGAACATACAACAAATTTAACCGATTTGAGAACCTCCTCTTTTTTCGAAATCGGTTGACTTATAAATGTTGGCCCCAGCTATGGCATCATGCCGGAGTCCCTCGGGGCAGCGCTGACTGCCGATCGGCGAGTCCAAGCGCATGTCATATTCATCGGCAGCCTGGGTGACGAGGCTAACACGTGAGTACAGTATAGCTAACTCTTATGCGACAAGCTTGTCACCGAGTTAGTAGAAGCATTTTTAACTGTAGCAGTACTGTAACGTCACAGACAGGAATCACACAGATAATACGACCAGGGACGTGTTCTGATTTCAACCTCTGGACAAATTAGTTTTATGGATCTATTATCTTCGACTGTGCTTGGCTAATGTCGATTCGAACCGGCGGCAGTCTCAAATGACAAGAACGATCAAACGAGCTTAACTTTTTCATTCGTCCTTTCGTACAGGCAAAGGTTTATAGAATATGCAGCCTAGTATTCAGAAAAACAACAATTTAGACAAAGTGATCAAATCACCCGTTACAGTACCACGCATGTAGCAGCTTCCGTGGAGCATTTTTAACTGTGGTAGGGACGGGCAGCAGCTTCTACTGTTGCACGAATGGGCAAGCTCGTCCGGAGAAGTGCCACGTACCCGCAGAAGACCGATATGCTTTCGCGTTTTTTCTGGTGAGTGAGGTAGCCGGGGCCCACTTTTTAAAAGGATAACGCATCTACAAACCCTTGGGTGTTGCAGATGTCTATGGGCGGTATTCAATTAATATCAGGTGAACCGCCTGCTTGCTTGACCGTGACTTGACAACTTTTCACTTAATGAATGATAGTTTAAATAAAACTAAAAAACACCGAACTAAAAAGTAGAAGAAAATTTTCAAAAAAATTAAATTATGAATAGTGTGATTAACAAAAAAAAACATGTTATTGTAGAAAATCGTAGGGTGCTTGGAGTCAATTGTTATAATATTTTAATAACATTAAATACAGTACATTGGTAAAAGTAGTCATAATGGAATGTTGATATATATATATATATATACATATATATATATATATATACAAGATTACCACGACCTCACAGAAGATCGGCGTAAAGTAGAAGTGTTAAACTTCTGCGTTTCGTCTGGTGAGTGAGGTGGCCGGGGCCCACTTTATTTAAAGGTGGCAACGCATTTGCAACCTTACGGGTGTTGCAAATGTCCATGGGCGGCGGTTATTACTTAACATCAGGTGAACAGCCAGCTCGTTTGCCACTTTTTGACATAAAAAAATACATGGTATGTAAAATATATAAATAATTTTTGTTAATCACGTTAAGACCCATGTTTCTCACGGGCTATGAAAAGCTCCATTCTTAGGAGATTTAATTTTTTAACCACCTTCTTCAGGCTATTGCGTCGACTTCCAGCCGGACACGCGCACGTCTGTATGGACGTGGCGTCTTTGCCCCACATTCTGCAGCAGATATTCGCATCATCGCTGTTGCAGAGCTCGAACAATTAACCAAGATTAAATACATTTCACAGTCCCTTTAGCTAAGACATAGGGCCAATTTTAATACCGTTACTCTCAGGACGAGTGTTTGTATTATAATCATTTCAGACTGTTGACGACCCGATCGGCGTGGAGAGTAGTGACCCCTGCCTCTTTCGCCTAAGGGCGTGGGTTCGATCCCCACCTCTGGAAAAATATTGTGTTGTGAACATCGTGTTTTTTCAGTGTCAGGGCGTTTATATGGGTACAATATGTATTTATTGACAAAAGAAAAGTATATATAAGTATGTTTATCAGTTCTCTTGTTGTACAATGGTAGAGATAATTTAAGTTACTGTATAATATGATACTGTATTCCTGTATCCTTTCTCGTTCAGCTGGATCGTTGTGTGGTTTTTGACTGCCGTCATCGTCTAGAGAAGGACCTCTAGTGACAGTAACCTTTTGGTAATGTTATATTGTAAATAGCAATCGATCAAAATGAAAGACTACAAAAATAATTTTCTTTATTTTTTTTTATTTTTATTATCCACAAATAATTACCACTTCTTATCGTAGGGCGGATTGCACTGACACGCCAATTTTAGCCCATTACAACGAAAAAGTTGTGTGGCAATAAAAAAATGGGCAACTATAATTAAAATTCGTTGTCGTCAATATACCGGCAAGCCTAAAGGCCTTATTAAGTGAAAAAATTGTCACACAATATCTTATAAGAAGGTGTATGTTTTATCTGTGTTTAATTCACTTCGACGCTAGTTTTCATTAAATTCATAGATCCATTCCATAGTATATCTTCTTCTTATGTCGTAAAATGGTTGTCGGAAATCGGAAATAAGGGTAAAAGTGGACATAGCAGGCTTAGAAAGAACGACCAAATATGGAATATATAATACATTATTATAGTAATATTCTTGTTAACTAATAGTGATACAATTTGACCAAATGAGATTTGTATGTACTATGTATTATAATGACTTATAGTTTTCTATCTATTTTCGAGAAGTATTGTTTTATATTGATTGACTTATTTAATAAAAATGTTACCATGTTAATCAATCTTTTTATTTAATATAATATTATTTTAGCATTGCTCTTTGTTATATGAACTCGCTTTAATAAACTGTAACGGTTTTGTTAGTGTATATATTTTTAATATTGTTTTAAATAACAAATAACTAGCGTAGTTTATCGTAGTGTGTTATATTTTTATACGAATTGTGGTACACAGTCTTTGTTAAATAAAGATTTTAATCCAACGTCACGGGATCATTACGGGAATTAAACCACAAAAAATGAGATAAAGTGTAAAACAGATTTCATTCGAAAGTTGCGGTTTGACAATAGGGCTGTCACTTTTGTGTTGTTAAACTTTACCATATTTCCACTCAAAAGTCTCAAACGATTGCATGTTTTAATATTGATGGTCCAAAAATCGTGAGCACGTGCGTTAATGTTTAATCCTTCAGATTTAGTTATGCTTGATAAAAACAAGTAACATCTGCATGGATCAATGATGATGCTGATGTGTGTAACAGCTTTTTTTTTATGTGAAAAGTTGCCAAACGAGCAGACGGTTCCCCTGATGTTAAGTGAATACCGCCGCCTATAGACAACTGCTACACTCGAGGGTTTGCAGATGCGTTGACAACCATTTTGGAAATTGGGCTCCGGCTACTTCACTCATCAGACGAAACGCGAACGTATTTGTCATACTTCCACTTTACGCCGGTCTCCTGTGAGATCGTGGTACTTACCCGGACGAGCCTGCCCATTCGTGCAACAGCCGAGGCTGCTGCGTGGCTCTACCACCGCTTTAAACCCAACTTTGACAACGTCTGTCTATAACCAGTATCTGTAAAATCAATTCATAACGTACCTAAAACGCTGTGATTCCAAAGCTAGCTGGAAAGTATATCCCAAATCACGACTGTTCGGACTATATTTCCATTTAAAATACGGGATTCGGATGTCGGGATTCCCACTAAATGAGTTTTCCAACTCGAAATAAAGTTGGATACGGGAATTGTAAATGTGCTGACGCCGAAGCAACTTTGTCTTTACCGAGTTCAAATTAGTTCACCGCGAACTTTAAAACGAAGATAAGTTAATATGGATTACATCGACCGACGATCTACCCTTTTCGTCTTTTTGCATGTAATAGTTTTTTGTATATGTATTTTTAAAATTCTGTATCTGTGTATGTTTTTGGTTTTCTACTGTGGTTGCATAAAAATTAAAAATTACTTTGTGGCGTGTAGTACGGTACAGATTTTTGTGTGGCCCTACTACGTAAAAAATCCAAAAACCGCTTAAGAAATGTAATATAGAAATAAAATATGAGACGCACTAAAAGAACAAATGAATAGGAAAAAAGCGGAGGGGGGGGGGGCATTATTTTATCTATAAATATACATATGCATTTTCACAATCGCTGTGTGTGCTTTATTCTAAAATGCCTGAAGTTCTGCGTTGTGAACCTTTAAAAGAGTGGCTTAAGGTTATTAGACAAAACGCAAAAGCATAATATTTCCAGTTCATACATTCTTTTATGCTGCTGTACTTCTTGGAAGATCACGTCCATTACGACACCCCATTCTATGGGCGGCGGTTATCACACTCTACATCTGGTGAATCATCAGCACGCTTGTCACTTTCTCACATACAAAAAATTAATAACTTAAAAAATCTTTTTTCATCTTTTTGTAAAAACTACACATTTTCTCTCTTCCTATATAATTTTCGTATTCTTTAGATAAAAGATATTTTCTGTAGATAAAAGATATTTTATATACACAACGTTTAATGGTTACGCTATGCCGTAGCATTTTTAATATCGTTCGTCACCTAACCTGAAAGTATCTTTAGAGAAGTTCATTATTTTTTTTATATTTTATTTACAAAAATTACATTTATTTTAAAACATACAGTCTAGAATCACTAGTAACATGAACCTATGGTAAAATTTCAGCAGCCCACTACTTTTATATAGCAAACAAAAGAAAAATTTAAACAACACATAACTATAGAGATATATCACTAACTAAGTAATCAATAAAAAAAAATTGATAGTCATCTATACTTTTCGAGAAAAAAACGTAATTAAATCTTGTTATTTTCACTAAGAAAATCCGCCATTTTACTATTGTCAACATTTTCACATTAAAAACCTTCCGTAAAACACTGTCTTGTCCACACTTAAAACATTCAAATTTTTTTCAAGAATTCATGATAAAACAAAAAAATAAAAAGTACTGAACGATTTGATTCCGATTTGAATAAAATTTTATTAAAAAATAAGACTAATACAATAATGTAGGTATACATATTTCTTTAATATAAATGGGCGGGAAATACTTTTGGTTTTAAATTTGACATACAATTAGGTATCAAAAATAATGATACAGCCAACTCGATTACAAATTTTATAAAATCTTTTTGTTAAAAGCCTTTAATGTAACCATGGTGTATTATAAACTGATTTAAATTAAATTCGTCTTTACGTAACTCAAGCTGATGGTTTTATATGTGATTTTTAAAAATCTATGATAATAATGGACTAAGTTAAATTTAAAATGAGTCACAGATCCGACACAGAGCACCCCGATTCCAAGTGGTCTTGTGGTCCCTACCCCTAGTGAACATAAAAAGGCGGAGCCAGAACCTCGCGTCGGAGGTCCTGAGTGGGTGAAGCGACACTCAGGGGCGACATAGCGAGTGTTCTGGCGAAGCACGTGGGAGAGTCAAACTTAATAATGAAGTCATATTTTTTATATTTCTTATATTTTTGATTTTTATTTATTAAAATTACATGCTTTTAAAATCTTCATCTCTAATTTTTATGTTGTTATATGTAAAAAAATAAATAAAATAAATAAATAAAAGAAATATTCAAAATTTATTACTTCATAGTAGTTTGACTCTCCCACGTGCTCCGCCAGAACACTCGCTATGTCGCCCCTGAGTGTCGCTTCACCCACTCAGGACCTCCGACGCGAGGTTCTGGCTCCGCCTTTTTATGTTCACTCTAGGGGTAGGGACCACAAGACCACTTGGAATCGGGGTGCTCTGTGTCGGATCTGTAACTCATTTTGAACCTAACTTAATTTACATAAAAATCACGGATAAAACCTATCAGGTTGAGTTAAGTAAAGTCAAATTTAATTTTTTTTTCCCTACTATGGCTCCACTGATACGTCAGTGATTTTGCCAACAACTTGGTACTTGGAGATCGATTAGGCTAAGGACATGACAATAATAACCTACTGTATTAAACCACTTTCAGTTGCATACCTGTAAAGAGAGGAACAAAACACCTTATTAGTAATTAGTAATATGCTCATTAGTTATGGGACATCAGCCAAACATAAATAAAGAGAAAAAAACAGGAACAAAAAAAAAAGGAACAGGAACAAAAAAAGGCGAAAAACAAAAATCTTATAAACCAGCTTAAAGCCGTATATTGTTAATTTCTATGAATCTAACTAGAGTTTTAATGAATGGGGCATAGACAAGAGTTAACAAACAACTAACATTCACAGGACGTACAAAAGTGGGTGGGAGTAGATCATATAGAGGGACTGATAACATAGGACAACTAAAGAATAAATGATCAAGAGTACCCTCATCTAACCCGCATTCACACAAAGACGTATTTCGAATATGCAGTTTAGCCAGAAACACCGGTGAACATACATGGCCTAGTCTTAGCCTGATGATAATAGATGTAGTCTTTTTGTGATAGCATCTATATCTAAAGAACCAAGGTTTGGTAGGTATACAAGGTTGAATTAGACTGCAATATTTACACCTTTCACGTCCAATCGCCCGCCACATGTCACCCCAAACCCTTATCATATTGTGTTTGGCAGAGAGACGCAGATCACGCACAAAACATTTATTATACTTAGGGATTCCGAACTGAATTGCTTCTTTGACACAGCAATCTGCTTTTTCATTTCCAAGAATGCCGCAGTGACTTGGAATCCATGCTAAAACTACTTGTA